AGAGAAAAAGAAAATAACAAAAAAGACCACCCTGCCGTAGCACGCCGCTGCGCTCAGGATGCGTGGAACAACTCCGTTTCGCTCACCAAAACGTGGCTGGCCGACAAAAATAAGGGGGTTGGGAAGAGAAAAAGAAAATAACAAAAAAGACCACCCTGCCGTAGCACGCCGCTGCGCTCAGGATGCGTGGAACAACTCCGTTTCGCTCACCAAAACGTGGCTGGCCGGCATGTCAGCAAATAACTGTCAACCTAAATAAATCGATCCGTTGTTACAAATAAGTTTGTTCCGAGCAGCTTCGCCGTTTTGCCGTTCTGTGGGCTCAGCTTCCACCTCTGCACGGGGCCAGCGAGTGAAACCATCCCGCGTCACTGACCAACAGGCCTCGCCGGAGGACGGGCGAAGGGCCCTACCTTTGGTGTTGCCCCCGTCACGCGTCACAGCGTACCTAGAATTTGTCTGACAATGACCCTAGAGCCGGGCGAGCCTCCACGGCTCCTTCTCTCTCCCCACCCAGGACCTCATTTTCCCCTCGGTCTGCTCTCCCTCTCTGCACCTGCTTGGTAGGGGAAAGAAGAGACGCTGTCCCGACCTCAGCGTGGAGGCTGCGGCTTCTCTGCCTAGGCAGCCCCCTTTGCCCCGGCTTCAGAGAAGGCACCAGCCCCCTGCCATTTGCTTGCCCGGGAATACAGCAGGAAAAGCCCATATAGCAAGCAGCCGCAGCAATACTTCCACAAAGCATTAGCTGTTTTCAGTTCTCGGTCTTGGCTGAGCACTGCTAGCTCTGCCCCTCTGCTGCTAGGTCAGCCAAGAGACAAGGGAACAAAAATAAGCTCTTTCTAGCACCACCTTCCTCACCAGGAAGGACATGCTTACCCCTCTCCTATCTACACAAATGCCTCTGTTTCTGGCTTTTGCCTGGTGGCTTTCTTCTCACTGGAGTCCTGCTGCTGGCACTTCTCCAGGCAGCGATCCTGTGGCAGCCTTGGGGAGCGGTAGAGCGGGACTGCCCCATGGGAGGATGAGCTGGGGGTGGCCGGAGCCACGGCGGTGGCCCTCACCAGCCCGGGCAGAGTCCTGTGGCGCCTGAGCAGGGCGGGCAGAGCAGGCAGCAGCACTTGCACCCACTGACACACCCAGACAAGGCAACCAGGTAGGTATGAGGTCCACCCAGGGAGTCCAGGCAGGAGCAGCAGGAGACGGTGCCAGAAACAGAACTGGAAACACAGGTCCAAGGTCCACCCAGGAGATGGGGCTGGAGAGAGGAACACCTGTGGCATAGCTGGGCCCATGAAAGCCCGGGGCTGAGCTGAAAGGGACCTCCCGGCCCATGGGCAGGGTGCATAGTTGGGGGGCTCCAGGGTAGGTGAGTCAAGGTCATCGCAGCCTCAGTGCACTTAGGCCCTGTTTCTCCCGTGGATCCGAAGTGCATGCCTGGGGCAAAGTCCTTCCTGACTCAACATGGGTGCCTCTGCCTCCTCTGCTCCCGCTCCTGGTTTCGGAGCCAGCCTAGGCACAGGAGAGGCACAGTGTGCCCATGCACATGGCAAGGCTATGGCAGAGCTCAGCAGCGTCGCTAGACCCTGGGAGAAGGGGGACTTGGGCTTGATGAGCCCAGGAGTAAATGCCTGGGGAGAAAGGGTGAGTAGGGTGCAGAAGGGTGACACCTGACCGAGGGGATGCCGGTGAATCCCACCAGGGATGGGGAGAACTGGTGAACGTGCAGGTGAGCCACTGAGGCCCTTTGTCAGCGAGCCAACTTGAAAGAGAGCTTTCAGCAGCTCTGTCGGGACCATGTTAGGATCTCCAGCAGAAGGGATTTTTACACGACTGGGTGGAAAACAATTTCCTCATCCCGTAAGAATTCCAGAGACTTGGAGAGGGGCAGGGGGGAATTGCCTCAAGTGAAGATAACACATAAATACCACCCCCGAGGTGAAAAACGGTACTGTCACGCTGCAGTAAGGTTGAAAAGACATCCGAGCTGTTGCAAACCTTTTCTCTAGACTTTGTTTTCAGAAGGAAAGCTACGTCAGATCACCTCCTTCCCGCCAGCGGCTGTCGCTTGGACGGGTCAGCACAGTTTCTCGAGCACGGAAGAGTTCCCAGCCCACGCTGCCAGGAAGCGTTAGCCCTCACCACTTGCGCTGCCCTGTGCCCATCCGTCGCAGGCCCCACGCATGAGCGCCTGCCCACGGCAGCCGCCACGCATGGGC